AGCTGGCCCAGGGATCTTCTCACCTCTGCAGGAGTCTACCGTATACCATGCAGTGGTGCTGCCAAGTCTACATAAGGACCACCAAACGCAGCCCCCGAACACAAATCAAGGAACATGAAAGGCGCTGCAGACTTATTCATCCACAGATCAGCCATAACAGAACACTGCTGAAACAACCTGGACACAGCATATTATTTGAGAACACAGAAATGTTGGATCACTCTAACAACCACCATGTCAGACTACACAGAGAAGCCATTGAAATCCACAAGCATGTGGACAATTTCAACAGAAAGGGGAAACCATGAAAATGAACAAAATTTGGCTACCAGTATTAAAAAACTCTAAAACACTGAAAAAACAAGGAATTGCAGGCAGGAAACAATCAGGGCCAGCTAACTTCTCCCAACAAAGGATCCCCCCAGGTAGGATTGTTTATTTGTTTGTTTCTTGTCTTGATTGTTTCTTGTCTGGAATTCTTCTGTTTTTTTAGTGTTGCTCTTTATTTACTGTGCTGATTTTAGAGGGTTTTTTTTAGTACTGATAGCCAGATTTTGTTCATTTTCATGGTTTCCTCCTTTCTGTTAGAATTGTCCACATGCTTGTTCCATTGGCTTCTATGGTAGCCTGACATGGTGGTTGTTAGTGTGGTCCAGCATTTCTGTATTCTCATATAATATGCTGTGTCTAGGTTGGTTTATCAAGTGATCTGAAACAATTGCTCGGGTGCTGATGTTAGGAACATCAGCCTCCCGAATCAGGGATGAAATGTATGTTCTGTGACTTGGAGGTCGAGGAGGGAATACAAAGATGGGATTCTGGAATATGTCTGTACATCCTGGTATACTTTTCCAAGACAGGCGGTTCCCAAGTTCTCTAGGTTTGTTCTTTTTTTAAAAAAATATTTTTATTAAGGTATTTGAAAGTAACATCGAGAGAGGGTGAATATTAAAAAAGAGGATAGCAAAGTAGGAAAAGATAGAAAAACACCCCCCTTCCCCCAAGTCCACAAAAAATCAAAAGAAAAAACCCCCGAGTAAAAAGGAAAAAGCAGTAAAAAATAAAATACAAAAAGMACAAAAAAGACAAAAATTAAAAAAAATAAGATAAAAAATTGACTTCCATCTCTCCATCAGGTGTTGTGTCCTCAGTAATGTTCCCATTGTATCCACATCAAAATATTCCTCTTATTTACTTCTTTCTTTTTCGTAGTTTTCATATAGAGTCCAATCTGTCCTCTTTATCGGATTCCCGGTATTCTTTTTCAAGAAAAAAGTTAGTTCATCCATTTCTCTTATTTCTCTTACTTTCCYTAACCATTCTTCAATGTTAGGGATGTCTTCCTGCTTCCAAAATTTTACCAAAGATATTCTCGCCGCTGTCGTGATATAAGTAAATAGTCTATCTTCATTCTCATCTAATTGTAATTCCAAATCCGTAAAGCCTAGTAAATAATATTCTGGTTTCTTCTTAAATACTCTCTTCAAGATTTTTTGTGTCTCCTCATGTACCATCGACCAATATTTCTCTATTTCTTTACATGTCCACCAAATATGATAAAAAGTGCCTATTTGATGACAACCCTTCCAGCATTTATCAGAAGAATTTTTGTTCATTAGAGATAATTTCTTTGGAGTGGTATACCATCTGTGGAACATTTTAATCCAGTTTTCTTTTAAATCTGTTGCATACACATATTTCAATTTTTTGTTCCACATCTGCTCCCACTCTCTAAATTGAATAGGTCTTCTTATATTTTCTGCCCATTTTATCATGCATGGTTTAACCTGTTCACACTCCGTTAGCCAGGTTAATAGTGTATTATAAATAACTGAGATTACTTTTTTCTTCGTCTTCAGGATCTTATCCCAGATTGTTTCTTCCCAGGCAAAGCCGTATTTTATTATCTTGCTTAATATATTCTTTCATTTGCAGGTAATGAAGCCACGTCATATTCCCATTTATTTCTTTTATTTGCTGAAAGGATTTTATCTCAGTAGTGTTTCTCACTAAAATGTCTCTATATGTTGGCCACGCTCTCCATCCTAATAGTCTTCTTTGGTGTGCCTCCATCGGTGAAACCCATAGAGGCATTTTATTATAAAAATACTTCTTATACTTCATCCATACTCTTAATAATGATGCTCTTACAAAATGGTTTCCGAATTTTTTTCCTTTTTTTCTCGATCATACCACGTGTAGGCATGCCAGCCTACTCGTAGGTCATGGCCTTCTAAATTCAAACCTTTTCCATTTTCTAATGTCATCCAGTCTCTTATCCATAAGAGAGCACTTGCCTCATGGTATGTTTTCAGGTCCGGGAATCCCAATCCACCTCTCATTTTTTTATCAATTAGGTTCAAATACTTGATTCTGGGCCCTTTCCCGTTCCACACATATTTCAGTAATTCTTTCTTCCATTTTATAAAAGATGCTTGAGTTCTGATTATGGGTATATTTTGGAATAAAAACAATAATTTTGGTAAAACATTCATTTTTATAAACGCAATCCTCCCTAATAGGGATAATTTCAAAGAGCTCAATTTCTTCAAATCCTTCTGTATTTTATTCCAAGTCAGTTCATAATTGTTCTTCAAAAGTTGACCATTCCTTGCTGTCAACCAGATCCCCAAGTACCTTATTTTCTTTACTATTTCCATTCCTGTAATCATTGCAATTTTCTCTTGTTCTACTTTTCCTACGTTTTTAGTTAATATTTTAGTTTTCCCTTTATTCATTTTGAAGCCTGCCACTTTCCCAAATTCTTGTATTTTGCCAATCCAGCTATGCAAATTATTTATTGGGTCTTCCACTATTCCCAGTATATCATTTGCAAAGGCCCTAATTTTATATTCATATTTTCCAATTTTCGCCCCTTTAATATTTGTATCTTCTCTTATTTTCATCATCAGCATTTCCAGAGCCATTATAAAAATTAAAGGGGATAACGGGCATCCCTGTCTTGTTCCTTTTGTAATCACAAACTCCTCCGATAGTTGACCGTTAATCCTAATTTTGATCTTTTGCAAATCATAAATAGCATCAATTGTGTTTATAAATTTAGCTCCCATATCTAATTCCTGAATCAATATCTTAAAGAAATCCCAGTTCAGATTATCAAACGCCTTCTCTGCATCAATTGATAAGATGGCCACTTCTTTCTGATGATTCACCTCAAAATATTCAATCAAGTCCATAACTAGGTTTGTTCTTAAGCTGAATTTGTATGTAAGTCAGAACAGGCACATTTTAACAGTGTAACTCCAGCCATTTTGTGACTCCACTGCACCACCAGGGGGCGTATATATATATATATATATATATATATATATATCCCTGGTGGTGCAGCGGGTTAAACCACTGAGCTGCTGAACTTGCTGATTAGCCCCAGCTTCTGCCAATCTAGCAGTTCGAAAACATGCAAGTAGATCTGATGGGGAGATATTGATACATAAATTGATACATAAATTGTATGTACTTTACCAGCACTGAAATGTAAGAAAAATCAGGTTCCCTCTGTGTTAGAAAGCCAGCAGGACAGGGAGAATGCTGAAGGAGATCTGTGTTAAAAGATGGAGAAAGGGGGGGCTGTTATCTATACATTTCAGAGAGACTGGTACAGCATAGCCCAGGCTATAGCTTCTTCTTTCTAAGTAAGGAATCTCTCTCCCTCCTGACAGGTCAAAGAGGGCCCCTTGATTGATGGGTGTAAGCTGTAAGCTGCTTTTTAGAAAAAAATACAGAGGCATGCCTCTCGCACGTTGGAAGAGATAATTTGATATTTCTGTGATGCTAAAGTGACGTAGTGGTGATGCTACGTATGTAGTAGTATGTTTCTTTGTTTGCCTGCATTTGGAGAGGTATAAAAGGCACAGTCAATGCCTTTATCCTCACTCTGGTTTGCTTTTGGACACAACTCCTCACCAGAGTCCCAGCTGGAAATAAATGTACATTTCTGACCTCCAAACAAAGGATCTCTTTTGGTATTATCTCTTCTATCATGCTGCTACAGGCAGGAAGGTAACGGCACTCCATGCAGTGATGCTGGCCACATGACCTTGGAGGTGTCTACGGAGAACACCAGCTCTTTGGCCTAGAAATGGAAGTCAGCATCACCCCCAGTCGGGCACAACTACTCTTAATGACAGGGGAAACCTTTGCCTTTATACTCTATCTATCTATCTATCTATCTATCTATCTATCTATCTATCTATCTATATTGTAGTTTGGACAGCATAGGGAAGCAGTAACATGTCTGTAGTGTTTCTTTTGCTGTCTGTGCCCTTGTTCAGAAGATTTCACCTCACTTTCTATCCCTGTGATCACTGGATTTTGAAAAAAAAAATGGCTTACTGTGGAAACAAAGATTGGTGAGAAAGCTTCAGTGGAGACCCCCTTTCCCATGACAACTCTTTCAGGAGTGAATTTCCCTTCTGAGGTGTGGATTTATCTTGCTTCCTGTTGCCTTATCCCCATTCTTAACTGGGCTATTTGTAAGTCAGATGTTTGTAACTCAGGGATTGTCTGTACAAGGAAAAATGAACAAGCTGTACTAAGTATTAGTTAGGCAATAGGAGAATCTTAAGGCTGTTTCGCAATAATGAGTAGTTTCACACTTCACACTTATAGCTTTATGCTCACACTTTATAATTCCACTTTTTATAAGGCTTCACCCAATGAAATCCTGGGGTTTGGTAGGATCTTACTGGAGTTCTCTGGATGAGAATTCAAAAGTGCCCTCCCTACACTCCAGGATTTCATGGGTTTCTGCTATAGCAATTAAATCTGGAACCACAGCACTATGGCTTCATGGTGCGAAAAGACCTCAGGTGTATAAGACATGACTTTCCTGCCCTCTAATCCAGGAATTCAGGAACCACCTTGACCTTTCCCAGTTATATTCATGAAATTTTTCATCAGAAGATCAAGTCTATCAGTGTGATTGTGGTGCATCAGGCAGGTTACAGACTAGTCAAATAAATGCTTAAGAAAAACACAAATGGTGCAGAATATTTTATTTCATGTTAGTCCAATAATACACCTTATCATGACAGCTTCTTCTTAGTCAGTCTTGCAGTTTGGTTATTAATTGAGCTTCCTAATGTAGTTATGTGGCTTTACCCAGACCCATGTTTGATTTCAACCCTCTGGAATGATTTTAAATAACTGTCCCATCTCAATTTTTGCATTTTACTTGAAGCTACAATAGTGGGCCAGCATGATGGACAGCAACAACTTAATCAAAAATTCTAAATCCTTCGGCAACAGTTTCGGCATCAGGGGGTGGTCTTCTTTGACTACCAGGTTGAAGGAATTTCTTAATGTTAGGGATATTGCTTATTCTTGCTTTAAAAGCCTATAAAAAAAGGGAGAGTGATCAGAAACGCAATAATTTTATACAAAGAAAAGATGTTATCCCCGAATATTCATCACTGAACAGCATAACTGACAACGTTACATCTGTAGGACTACACATTCATCTTAAATAGACATAGATCATGGTCCAGAATTGACATGATCTGATCCTCAAATATACTAGCCACAAAAATTAGCAAAATTAAGATACTCCTTAGAACTCAAGCAAACCACTGCTCACTAGAATTTACATTAAATAAAAAACCAAGACATTGGAAATGGAAATTAAATGATAATCTATTGAAAGAAGAAAGTGATATTAGGAAAAAGAGACAGAAGCAACATATTACGAAAATAATTGCACAAGACAAAGAATACTTTGGGGATCAAGACATTGCAGAACAATTTTTAAATACTACAAGAAACTCTATTCAAAAGACCGGATCGAAAAAGAAGACATAGTTCAATACTTAAACAAACAAAATCTGACAAAAAATTGAGACCATCAGAGAGAAACACTTAACAAAGAAATTACAAAAGAAGAACTACATAAAGCAATCAAAAGCACCAGGGCCCAATGGCTATACAGCATCCTATTATAAAATATTCGAACAGGGGTTATCAGCAATCCTCCTGACAATAATGAATCAAGCAATGCAGAAAATTCCAGAAACTTGGAAAAGTTCCACAATCATAATGATCCATATGGATAAATCAGATCCAACGGACGTCAAAAATTACAGACTAATCTCCTTATTAAACACAAACCACAAACTATTCACAAATATTCTGGCAGAATGCTTCAAGATATTCATAACAGATTGGATAAAAGAGGATCCATCTGGATACCTTTGAAGAATTCTATTGAAGGATTTTTTGAAATCAGAAAAAAAATAACATAAAAATATAAAGACGGAGTGGACTAAAACTATTTTTTTAATCACAAAAGACATTCACCCAGATGGAAGAATTGGAAGTCGCAATTTTTTTTCTCAAAACTTTTTAAAACATTTTTTTCTTTTCTCTTCTTTAACTTTTCTAAATTTGTTTCTTTTTCTCTTCTACCTTTTTTTCTTTTTACTGAGGCGAAGCCCTTTTAAATTATTACTAATACGTCTCTATGTTCCCCCTCCTTTTCCCCTTTTTTCCGACTTACCTACACCCCTATTTCCTCCATTCCCACTCTAACCCCATCACTATCTTGCAATAAAACCTATTAAAAAAGAAAATAAAACAACCTTCAACCCCTGACAAAAACTAAATAGATGTATAAGTAACATATATCTCGGAAAATCTGACTATAGATTATCCTGATGCATTGGATTGTTATTGATGTGCAAATATTGTATATCATGCTTTTACGGTTTTAAATTGTATACTGTTGATTGTTGTATTTTGTTGTAAACCGCGATGAGTCGCCGGCTAGGTTGAGAAACAGTGGTATACAAGTATAGCAAATAAATAAAATAAATAAATCCTAATCTTTATGTTTAAAGTAAGAAAATTTGTGGCTGAGTCCAGAATCTGAAATACATAACCAAGAGTTACACATTCATGCAGAGGCGGCCCTAGTTAATTTTCAATGGTAAGCAAGCAGTATTTTGCCCCCTCCCCTCCAACTAATCACTGATATATATTTTCTGTTCATTGTGGGAGTTCTGTGTGCCATATTTAGTTCAGTTCCATCATTAGTAGAGTTCAGAATGCTCTTTGATTGTAGGTGAACTATACATCCCAGTAACTAAAACCCGCATATGTCAAGGTCTATTTTCCCCCAAGAGCATCTCAAGAGCGCCCCTGGGCAAAATCAACTATACTGCAAATGCTTACTTTGGGTAATGGGTTGAGCTGCCCCTGCATTCATGACTTCATTATATTCATAATACTTATCTCCGTATTTATGCCGATTCCCAACCAAGGACCATGAAAGGCCCTATTTACTATTTAACAGCCACTGTGAACAATGAATTTTTGTTGCCCTGTTGAGTGAAGAGCAGATGGTTGGCTGTGACGCCATACACACACCAACCCTTCCAATGGCTTTGGGAATACTTTCCTCCAGGATTTGCGGAACATGATGCAGCATCTATGAATGCACAGGATCTAGTACATTTCCTTACTGTGTTGTAATTCCATGTCTTCCCCAAATTTGTTGTTTACCTTTCAAAGACTTCAAGCCCCATAAGCTTCCCCAAAACAGCTTGTTTACCGTTAAAACAGGAAACTTGGAAAGGACATCAGCCTTCAGCTCTTCTGTTGCTAAAATGGTCTCAAGCAACTGGATATCTGCTCTGCTGAGCTGATTTCCCACCAGAAAATCTTGTCCATGATCTTTCAGGACCTACAGGACAGGAAACATTATAAGAAGCTTTCAAGCCAGTGGTTCTTAAGCCTTTGCTTCTCCAAGTATTTTGGACTGCCGCTCCCGCAATCTCAGACCATTGGCCATGCTAAAGGGGACTTCTGTGAGTTGAATCCAAAGTGTGTGGAGAGTCAAATGTTGACAGTCACTGTTCCATGCATATATAGTAAACTGAAATGATACTGCTGGACTAATTTGAGGATCACATACTGGAAAATACTGCATCATTAAATTAGAAGATTCATATTTGGATTGACTTAGGTTTTTGAAAAGCCACTGGACACCATGAAAATGCAACATGAATGACAGGAGGCTGGACTATATGGCCTTTGTGGTCCCACCCAGTTCTATGATTCTCTATTGCAGCACCAGGTTAGAGTAGTGCAATCTGGAGCCACATACTGGATTTTATGGCAGTGTAAATCCAGCCTAAGATACCAAGACAACTCAAGACACGAGTAACAGAATAGGTCAGATGCACCTAACAAATGTACTTCTCTAAGCACTTTTCTCATTTCAAGTTCTGTAAAGCTTCCAGGATGGCATCGTTCTATGCACTTGTGTCACCTTTATGTGATTTATGATGACAAAGTAAGCTGCACCGCTGCACAACACTTGTATTCTCATGAAAGTAAGAGAGGTGGACCTATGTCTTCAAGATCAGCGAGTAAGAGCAGCCGTCATAGCTCTATGGGTCCCATTGTGCTGTGCATCCCGTTGTACAATGGGCATGATGCAGCATCTATGAATGCACAGGATCTAGTACATTTCCTTACTGTGAGTGGCACTATGAGTGGTACTGCCTAATGAAGGCCTTGCTGTGTATCGGGGTCTCCCAGGTTGTCCCAAACACATAAGCAAGATTCACTACTAAATTGTGGTAATATTAAATATAGCCTCTATCACAGCCTATTAGCTTCCATTTATTCCTTTCTGTTGTTTCTGATTTCTGATATATATATAAAAAACCAAAACAAAAAAACCCAAACACAAAACAGTTATACAACCAAAGACTAACAATAACTGAGATTAGGTATTATTCTCTCATAATAGGTATCCTCCTACCTTTTCAAAGACTGGGAAATATCTGTCAGTGGCTTTCTCAATGATCATTGTTGTTTCCTTCTCCCTCTCCTTTGGATCAGTGCATTTCCAGGGCATCATCCAGATCATTTCACCCAGGTCCCAAGCACCTTCACTGTACATATCAATTCTGTTAAAAAGTGAATGTGCTAGTTATACTTCCTAACTACATGCCACGTGGATTGCTCTGGAAAACTGAAATGCACAATATTCATTTTGCCGTGCTGGGAAAAGTATTTCTTCCAGTTATTTACATCTGCAGTGGATTCACAATGTCTAATTATAGCAGCTTGACCTTACTTTAACCACAAAATCCTCGTATTTGTACTTTGGTGACATATCAGTACTCTTTGACTAAACACCATGCAAAACAATAAATCCCAGATTTCCATAGGGTGAAGCTACAGAAATTAAGGTGGTATATTCCAGCTTTACTGTTTCAGAGTAGCCACAACCCTGTTGAACTGAATTAGCTTCTTCATGTATATTTGTACAAGACTACAGTCTTATATTTATTTATTACAGTCTTATTTTTATATTTAAAAATCACATTCCTTTATATGTTTATTAATAATGTTTATAATGTTTTGTGTATAATGTTTATACACAAAACATTAGAAAAAGTGCACTGAATTCCTGTTTATTTATTTATATTCTGTATTTATACCCCACCTTTCTCAACCCCAAAGGGGGCTGAAAGTGGCTTAGGTAAAGATAAAAGTTCTCCTCTGACATTATGTCTAGTCCTGTGCAACTCTGGGGGTTGGTGCTCATCTCCATTTATAAGCCAAAGAGCCGGCGTTGTCCATAGACACTTCCAAGGTCATGTGGCCAGCATGACTTCATGGAGCGCTGTTACCTTTCTGCCGGAGTGGCACCTATTGATCTACTCACATTTGCATGTTTTCAAACTGCCAAGCTGGCAGAAGCTGTGGCTAACAGCGGGAGCTCATCCCGCTCCCCGGATTCGAACCTACAACCTTTCGGTTAATAAGTTTAGCAGCTCAGCATTTTAATGCACTGTGCCACCGGGGGCTCCCGAAGACGGCTTACATATAAGCAATTATTCAATGCCTTAGAACACATACAATTAAAATTAAATTAAAATTAAAACATATTAAATATTTAAAAACATTACATTCACTATAAAAACCATGCCATCCATAATCATAGTCCAAACCACTTTGAGCCCCCCTAAGGCTGAGAAAAGCGGTATATAAATACTGCAAATAAATAAATAAATAAAGCTGTTCCATAGTTATTGCACATATTCCCTATCTGTTATTGCACTGCACTATTCTCCAAAAGCCAAGTTTCTCACTTGGATTAAATGAAGGGCTGGAGCAAAGGTGAGTAGTATAGGGTCCTCCAGATGTTGTTGGATGCAGCATCCATGGTCAGTTAATACTGAAACCAATTGTAAGCTAACAGTGCCCTTGCTAGTACTTTTTAGTTTTTATTGCACTCATTGCGCCTGATGCCAGCTATGACTTTTGCCTCAGCCACATTGTTTTACAATGCTGTTTTATTGTGTTTTGTTTTATTATTTTATTTTATTGGTTTTAATGTGTTGTATTTTATCTGTGATTTTTGGGCTCGTTCCCTTTGTAAACCGCCCCGAGTCCCTGAGGGGAGATGGTGGCAGGGTATAAAAATAAAGTTACTTACTTAGTTGCTTTTGGCAGTGGCAGTGAGCTGACATAGATTCATAGGGCAAACCAGATTTCTCATCTCATGCACAGCAAACATATCTTGCAGAAGCAAACACGCATTCACCAAATGTAGAAATGTTGCTCACAGTGCTCTCTGCTTGATGTCGTTCCCATAGAGATTGTATTTTGCTGCAATGTAGTTGAGAATGGCTCGGGTCTGCACCAGCTTCATCCCGTCAATTTCCACCATGGGCACTTGCTGGAAGAGCAGGAGTCCATCTTATGAAGGGAAAATTGGGAGAAATCTGTTTATTTTTCTACAGCCAATGGGGATAGGCAAAATATTATGCATACACCATTATTTCTGCATGAGAACCAGCATACTGCAATTTTTGAGGGCTGGACTACAACTCTGGAGATGAGGATTTGAATCTCCATTCAACCATGAATGGGTGATCTTGGGTATGTCAGACTCTCAGACTCAGAGGGAGGCAAAGGCTAACCATCTTTGAGCAAATCCCACCAGGAAATGCCATGATAGGATTACCTGTGGGTTGTCATAAATTGTAAACAGCTGAAAGGTACATAACAACAACTCATTCTTACCTAAAACTGTGCATACATAATGCAGAACATGAGTAACTAGCCCGATACGAAAACATCTGTTTGTTTTCTATAGAGGCCCATCTGTTCTTTACACACGGAATCCACTGTGTGTAAAGAATCCACACAGTCTCCTCCTGCTTTATCGCTAATGTAATAATAGTAATATTATATATATATATATATATATAGTTGTAATTATATATATATATATATATATATATATATATATATATATATAATATTAGTATTATATTTTTATTATTAAACTTTATTTATACCCTGCTACCATCTCCCCAAGGGACTCGGTGCGGCTTACATGAGGCCGAACCCACAATACATCAATACAAGCAATAACAACAACAGTAAAGCAAATTAAATAAAACTCATAAACAAAAAGCAATATGCAATGACAATAATACAACACACAATTAAAATTTATGGCTGGGCCAAATGTAATTAAAGTTAAAAAAATGCTAGGCATGAATAAGGTAGGAGAGATGGGGCGTTAGTGGGAGAGTACAACAATCCTACAGTCCTACAATCCAACAGTCATACACAACTCCTGGAACAATTCCATCAGCGCTGCCTCCGAAAAGTCCTGCAAATCTCTTGGGAAGACAGCTGGACATATGTCAGTGTGCTGGAAGAAGCAAAGACCACCAGCATTAAAACAATGGTCCTCCGCCATCAACTCCACTGGACTGGCCACGTTGTCCAGATGCCTGACCACTGTCTCCCAAAGCAGTTGCTCTACTCTGAACTCAAGAATGGAAAATGGAATGTTGGTGGGCAGGAAAAGAGATTTAAAGACAGGCTCAAAGAAACCTTAAAAACTGTGGCATAGATACCGAGAATTGGGAAGCCCTGGAGGTCAGCTGTGACCATCAGAGGCACAAACAGAGGGTGAAAGAAAGAAACGTGCCAAGAGGAAGGTACGCCAAGCCAACCCTGACCGGGACCACCTTCCACCTGGAAACCAATGTCCTCACTGCGGGAGAAGATGCAGATCAAGAACAGCCACCTATGGATCCATTGCCAAGACACCACATCTGGAAGACAATCATCCTCGAGCTACGAGGGATCGCCTAAATAAGTAAGTAAGCAAGCAAGTATAATATATATTATATATACTACAACTTATGATATAGTACAATATATTATACAGTACTAGTAGTATAATACACGGGTAGTGTATTATACATACTGTGGAAGTATAATATAGTACAATATAATAATATATAATAATGTAATAATTGTATATTATATTTGTTGTTCATTCATTCAGTTGTCTCCGACTCTTCGTGACCTCATGGACCAACCCACGCCAGAGCTCCCTGTCGGCCGTCACCACCCCCAGCTCCTTCAAGGTCAGTCCAGTCACTTCAAGGATGCCATCCATCCATCTTGCCCTTGGTCGGCCCCTCTTCCTTTTAACTTCTACTTTCCCCAGCATAATTGTCTTCTCTAGGCTTTGCTGTCTTCTCATGAAGTGGCCAAAGTACTTCAACTTTGTCTCTAGTACCCTTCCCTCCAATGAGCAGTCGGGCTTTATTTCCTGGAGGATGGACTGGTTGGATCTTCTCGCAGTCCAAGGCACTCTCAGGGCTTTCCTCCAACACCACAGTTCAAAAGCATCTATCTTCCTTTGCTCAGCCTTCCCTAAGGTCCAGCTCTCACATGTATATTATATATTACTAATAATATTGCAGTATAGTGGTATAGTGCAATATAGTAATATATAATGCTAATGTTGTGCTATGCTAATAATATATATTGTATATCCATATAATATTGATATTAATATTATAATGTGATGCAATATAATACTAATAATACAATATAATAACATATATATAATAATATTGTAATGAAGTAATACTAATATCTTAAATAGGATCCCCCACTGGCGCAGCACATTAAACTGCTGAGCTGGTGAACTTGCTGATCAAAAGGACAGTGGTTTGAATCCGGGGAGCACCAAGAGCTCCCACTGTTAGCCCTAGCTTCTACCAACCTAGCAGTTCAAAAACATGCAAATGTGAGATCAATAGGTACAGCTTTAAACAGCAACGCTGGCCACATGACCTTGGAGGTGTCTACAGACAATGCTGGCGCTTCAGCTTAGAAATAAAGATGAGCACCACCCCCCAGATTTGGACACGACTAGACTTAATGTCAAGGGGGAACCTTTACTTTTTAATGTATTAAATATAATTACTACTGATAATATATAATATATAATGATACACTTTTTTATTACTGTATATTTGCATGTTTTAGGTTGTAATGTTTTTGTTTGTGAGCAGCTTTAAGTTTCCATATGGAGAGATAAAGCAGGATATAAATAAAATAAAATAAAATATATTCATATTACTCCAAAGCAGATACATAAAATATTTGGACAACAAACTCACCTTTCCTTAATTTTTCTAGATCTGCCTTTGACTTAATAAGTGGTTCTTCAAACTAACAACAAAAAGAAAAGAAAGAAACAAAGAAAGGCAAATGATCTGAAGAATCTCATAATGTAACAAGCACAACCTCCCAGTCTCAGTATTTCCTCATAATTTAATATTCTCAGGGGAAAGCATAGATTTATAAAAAGTAATGAACAAGACAATGTATGCTCAGGTTACACAAATGTCCCCTCGCCTTCATCAAACAGAAACAATGATAAAGTCCACTAGAAGAAATGCAGGGCAAATACAGTTCTGTGGCAAAGTTTAAAAGCGTGTCTCCTCCACTGTAGCTGAAAACAAATCCACTGCAGTGGAAGATACCTGGTCACTGCCAAGTGAAGCCCTAGAGTAGGGAAGACTAGAGCGGTGGTTCTCAACCTGTGGGTCCCCAAGCATTTTGGCTTACAACTCCCAGAAATCCCAGCCAGTTTACCAGCAGTTAGGGGAGTTGAAGGCCAAAACATCTGGGGACCCAGAGGTTGAGAACCACTGGCCTTGAAGGTCATAAAGTAAATAAAATGCAGGGGAACATTTCCCCAGGACTGACAGGTCTGTGTGGGGACATGTTCTCAAGTCGTGGGATTTTTTGACTCAGTCCTAAAATGTGGATTTTGGAAGTGCCCTAGGTGACTTTGGGCAAGTCACACTCTCTTAATCTGAAAGGAAATAAGCAACTACGGAAATAAGCATGAAATGAAAATGCTCCCTTCCACACCTGCAGTGAAGAAATGAACCATACATATATGTATATTGGCAGCTCAAATGAAATATTAAAGCAATATGATCTATTTAGAGGTAAAACTGAGCCCAAACCTCAACTCCAGCTGCAGCCAACATCCATCTTATGGTTTCCATGCGGGCTCTTGTATTCATGTAATGAAGCTTAGGTTTCCCAGCCATGTTTCCAAGTATTTTTTTTCCTCTTTGACAAAACGAAGATTTCAAAAAGAAACACTATACCAAGGGGTGGGAAACTGGAGAAAGAGCAGAACAGCTTTCAGTATCTTTGCTTTTGATTCTATGAGCTCTGTTCTGGTTGAGGAAATTACTTCATGACAAGCCTTATCACCTGGATGTCATTTGATTTTAGAAGATATTGTGCCAAAGACCTGGTGTTAATGTTGGGTCTTGATCCAATTTTAGGCACAAAGCAAGAGAAATGGGTTACCTGACACGCTCTGCTGGTCTCCTTAAATACAGCCAGCCCTAAACATTCACTGTGGTTAGTGACACAGGACCACCATGAACGTAGGAGCCCCTGGTGGTGCAGTGGGTTAAACCCTTGTGCCAGCAGGACTGAAGACCAGCAGGTTATAGGTCTGAATCTGAGGAGAGCACTGATGAGCTCCCTCTGTCAGCTCGGCCAATTCTCTCACACCAGAAGCGACTAGTAGTTTCTCAAGTTGCTCCTGACACGGAAAGAAAAAAAAACCCATAAAAGAAAAAAATGGCAAACAAAGAAATTGGTACACAATTTGAGAATGCCTCTCAAGGAATTTCTAGGAATTCCAGCATGACTCTATGATTGACTTTCAGTGGAAGCTGAACACAGAATTGCACTGGAGGATGTAGAAATTCATAGAAAAGTAATCTCTTTAGAAAACTCAAGGTCCTCTATCTTGTTCAGGGGAAATGAACCATAGAGCAACACTAGAAGTCCCAGCGATCCCCAGAGAGAACATTTTAAATATGTGAATAATTAAAGGTCTAAATGTCAAAACTGCATATGTATGGGGACAACTGTATTAGCAATGCCCGACCTCCAAAAATAGACAAGATGAGTTATATTTAGGGTGAGATGCCCTGGTGACCTTCCAAATACTAGCCATACTTACACCTCAAAAAATGGATAAGGTGAGGTCTATCTGGAACACAAGTGTCAAACTCAAGGCTGACTTCAGCCTGCCTTTTTTATTTTATGTGGCCCTCCAGATGCTACAACTCCTGCATTCCTCATCATTGGGCATCATGACTAGATGGGAGATGGAATACAATAACACCTGGCAGGCTGCAGTTTGTTCTGTTTAGTCAGGATAAAGGGATTTGAATTTAGATACAAAGCTTGCTGATATGAGTTCTGACATTAAAACCTCAGAGCCCCAAGTGCTGTTGGATTGCAATCCCTATTATCCCTAGTCCACATGCTCGGAAATCAAAAGTGATGGGCGTTGTTGTTCAATAACATCCGGGGACCCAAACTGGATAAAACTAAAGAGCACCGAACACTAAATTTTAAAAAAACCTAGCCCACTGTATCCACTGATTTAACAGTCCTTTGAAGGCAAGCATAAGGCTGATGTGTCCCTCGATGAAAATGGGGTCGACACCCCGAATCTAGAGTGATGAATGCAATATTCCCAAGCTGAAAAAAGCAGCTGCAGCAAACTCTGCTTTGCAAAGAGCAATGTTTCTCTTGGCTCCCATTCCTGCTGAGACCGGAGACAGGGCCAAGGAATGACATCATTGGCCCAGTTGCCTCTCCCTTTCACATTAATGTGTAAGCTCTCTTTTGCTGCAGTCCTTTGGGTTTTGAAAGCCCCCTTTCTGCCCAGGTTTTTTAATACACTTTCCTTTTTCTTCAAAAATATCTTTTTGCAACACAAAACAAGTTGGCTGCAACCACTGGGTTGTTGTAGGTTTCCAGGCTCTATGGCCATGTTCCAGAAGCATTCTCTCCTGATGTTTTGCCTGCATCTATGACAGACATCCTCAGAGGTTGTGAGGTCTGTTGGAAACTAGGAAAATGAGGTTTATAGCATGAAATTCTTACACATCTGTTTTTTTTATTGTTGTTGGGTTTTTTTGGAATTAACATATCAATTCATTCCCAGCAATGACAGCATGTCTGGAGAGAACTACAAACCAGTTTATATTTTTGCATTGTTTTCCCCTACAGTGCATACAACCTTAACAACTTACAATTCCAGCTATATATTTGCAATTCCCTTCCACCCGCAAATGTAGACATCCCTCCACAAGATTCCAATAGTAGTATCTGAAAAGAGAAACTTTGACAATGCTTTGATAAAACAAGAAATGTATAGCTGCCCAAACTCGACAACTGGAATGCCTTAAATAAAAGGATAATTGAAGATAGGATTTGAAGATAAGTGAAGATAATGATTAGAATATTTATTCTTCTTTGATGTAAATGTAGTACTTAGCCTTCCAATAATTGCCATTGCTACTATGAGCTGTTAAAAGGTGCCTACATTGGGCAGGGCATCCGTTTTACAAGCGATGCACATAGAACAAAACAAGACTAGTTTGCAGGTCCAGTCGCCCTGCTGAAGCCACTGCTAGGGACAAAGTTTAGGCTTAGTAGTCAACATGCAAACCTAGTGAGCCCCAAAGCAAGGAGAGTCCCAGATCCCTCCGTGCTCCCCCTTAACCCCCCACAGAAAGAGGGAAATAAGAGAAGAATTGGAAACTGGGGAGGGTGGCAAAGTTCCCTGGCCAGATGATGTTAGGACTCCACTATAAAAACCTCAGGAAACACCATGGGTCTGCAAGGGAAAAAAATGCTCTCCAAATAAATACAAACCAATCAAGATTGTTATTCCGCCAAGCACTTGTAGGGGCCTCTCACGCAGCCCTATATCCCAGAACATCAAGGCAGAAAGTCCCACAATGCCTGCTTTGAACTGGGGGCGTTTCCACCCAGCCCTATATCCCAGAATATCAAGACAAAAACCCCCCCACATTATCTGAGTATAGACTCAGATAACCCAGTTCAAAGCTGATATTGTGGGATTTTCTGCCTTGATGTTCTGGGATAGAGGGCTGTGGAAGGGCCTCTAGGGTGTTGTAGGGCTGAAGTGGATTTTCTCATCCTGGCTACTAACCTGTTGCTGGAACTGGGGAAGGAGCTTAAAGGGCTTTTCTTGCGTAAGAAAGATTCAGCCTGTGCGCAACTGTTATATAAGCCTCGGGAAGAGGAGAGAACCACCCAGTAGGAGGTGCAGTTTCCCTCTCTAAACAGATGAGTGTGCCAGATTGGTGGTTGGTGTGTTTTCAACTACAATTAGTGGCCTTTTCAATTTGTCATTATTATGGGAATGCTATATTCATGTTTTTACAGTTTCCCTCCATATCCATGAACTTTGTATCCACAGATTCTGTCTCAAAAATATTTTTTTAAATATCTCAAAAGCAAACATTGATTTTACCATGATTTATAAGGGTTGCGATTTTACTACACTATTGTAAGTAATGTTACTTGAGCATTCATAGATTTTGGTAGCTACGTAAATCCCAGCGCATATCAAGAGTTGGGATGTTGTAGGTTTTTTGGGCTATATGGCCATGTTCTAGAAGCATTCTCTCCTGACGTTTCACCTGCATCTATGGCAAGCATCCTCAGAGATTGTGACCTCACACTCTCCGAGGATGCTTGCCATAGATGCAGGCAAAACGTCAGGAGGGAATGCTTCTAGAATATGGCCATATAGCCCGAAAAATCTACAACAACCCAGTGATTCCAGCCATAAAAGTCTTTGACAATACATACCAAAAGTTTATTCAACCATATGCAATCTGTACTATAATTTTGTGCAATAACCTCATCATTTTTATGGGCAGTCCTATAAAATGTGGCTACTTTTGTTGGCCCAGCAATAATATAGCATATGTCATAAATGACCAAATTACTTTATTAGTGGCACCTAATTTTGAGCGTTACGGGATTCTTGTGAATACTTTGATTTGTATGAAGAAGGTCACAGGTTCAGCACATTGGATATTGCCAGTTGACAGTGTGAAGACACACCATACCATAAATATTCCTAGTCTATGTTTCCCAATATAGGAATCGGGGAGATTATAATGACAGAAGTTTGTTTTCTGCAGAAATTAACTAACGGGTGGGCTATACTTGTGCAATGCAAGCCAGCCAAGAAATACCACATCAGAGAAAGAAAATGTCAAGGTTTTATAAATAAAGGTTTTTTAAATCCACACAATACACTCACATTTCTTCACACACACCCCTTTATGCTCAACCCCCCTTTTCCTTATCCATCCACTTCCAGACTGACACAGCTGTATAAAATCCAGATTATCTGCTTTGAACCAAATTATATGAGTGTAGACTCAGATCACCCAGTTCAAAGCAGATATACTGCCATATAACCCCAGATTATCAAATCAGATAGTCTACATTATTTGCTTGGAACTGGATTATATGAGTCCACACTCATATAATTCAATTCAAAGCAAATAATCTGGATTTTATATGGCAGTGTAGAAGGGCCATATAATCCAGATTAGCAAAACAGATGATCCAGATTATCTGCTTTAAATGGGATTATATGAGCCGACACTGCCACATAATCCAGTTCAAAGCAAGTAATCTGGGTTTTAAGGGGCCTCAGCATACCTGAGAAAGTTTTCAGAAAAGCGTTTGTTTTCCCAGTTTGCAACTAGATGCAGCTGGCGGTTAATCTTGAGCTGGAGTTGTCTCATTTCTCCTAACTCCCTAATTTCACCACTGAAGTTAACCTTGACTTGAATGCCTTTTTTGTTCCTGTTGCTGGGGAACTGGCTTTCTCACTCACTTGATCTTCCCTCCTCCCTTCTCTTTACCTCAATGAACAAAGCCATAGTTGCAGTTTAATAGTTTAATTTGGCAAAGGAGTTAACAATTAGCAATTAGCAATTTTATTTATCATATCAGACGTGAACTGAGGGTACAGTTGTAATGTATTTAAAAACACAAACAAAGCTTGCTAAATGTTCTTTGATTGGTAGCTGGCCACATGGAGTGCCTCTGGTGTTGCTATAACGAAGTCCTCCATTGTGCATATGGCGGGGCTCAGGCTGCATTGTAGTAGGTGGTCTGTGGTTTGCTCTTCTCCATATTCATATGTCATGGACTTTGTAGCCCCATTTCTTAAGGTTGGCTCTTATGCCGTCGCGCCTGGGGGCTATAGATCTTAGTGAAAGAAACATCTTTTCCCCAGAGGATTGCTTCTTGCCTTCCTTTAGAGAACTGGAACTCTCAAGGATCAAGACACTACAGATAACTCGAAATAGACTTTATTGTTCACAAAGAGTCATCTTCCTTAGGCATAAACTTGATGTTCCACAAGGGGGTAAAGAAATATACATTACAGTCTCTGAAGTCTTGGGTCCAAGGAGTTGTCCAGCTGAGAAGCTTTCCCAGTTCCCTCCTTCTCAATGACTATGAAGTTGAAACATTCACAACCCCAGTCCAATGACCTATATTGAAGGCACAAAGTCTTCCCCTTGATGCCAAAGTACTGGTTTGAAGGCTCTTAAGATTCCTCAACGTCGTCCAGGTGAGCTGTTCATGAAGTATGAATCTTAAGAGTACAAACTTAAGAATTGGTGATAAGAGATGACTTGACTAAGGGATTAGAGCCAAGCCTTTCTCACATCTCACTGTTGAGTTGTATGATGGTGGAACGAAAAAGAAAGCACTGCCCTCCTCCCTAGGAAGGGATGGAGTCAAGTAATTGAGGTGGGAGAACAATTCAACCGATGCAAAACAACATTGATAGAAAGCTGTAGATAACCAAACAATTCAACTATATATTTACATACAAGTGGGGCCAGGGTTAGGGTTAGAGTTAGGGTTAGTGTTAGGGTTAGCTCAATCGGTTCAGTGCCTTCCAAGTCGCCCAATCTTCTGTGTGCCCAGGAGGAAGTCTCTTATTTGGTACCAGCCATTGATTGAGATTCTGGGTTTGAGCCAGCCACTTTTGGACTCTCACTTGCTGAGGTGTTCCTGCGAGTATCTCTGTAGATCTTAGAAAAGTATTTCTTGATTTAACTTGTTGGCGTGCTGGCTGATATCCGAACAGGGGATGGGCCGGAGATGTCATTGCCTCAAACATCAAAAAAATCCTCAAACATAAACAAAAAAACAAAACAAAAAACCAAGATTCTGGCAACCGGACTGATTGACAACTGGCAAATAGAGGGAGAAAACGTGGAGGCAGTGACAGACTTTGTATTTCTAGACGCAAAGATTACTGCATATGCAGACTGCCGCCAGGAAATCAGAAGACATTTACTTCTTGGGAGGAGAGCAATGACTAATTTCAATAAAATAGTGAAGAGTAGAGACATCATACTGGCAACAAAGAACCGCATAACCAAAGCAATAGTATTCCCCATAGCAAACTATGGATGTGAGAGCTGGACCATAAGGAAGGCTGAGCAAGGGAAGATAGATGCTTTTGGTGTTGGAGGAAAATTCGGAGAGTGCCTTGGACCGCAAGAAGATCAAACCAGTCTATACTTCAGGATATAAAGCCTGACTGCTCATTGGAGGGAAGGATATTAGAGGCAAAGATACAGTACTTTGGATGGTATCCTTGAAGTGACTGGCTTGACCCTGAAGGAGCTGGGGGTGGTGATGACTGACAGGGAGCTCTGGCATGGGCTGGTCCATGAGGTCACAAAGAGTCGGAAGTGACTGAATGAATAAACAACCGCATGACTACATTTGGATAGATCAGTGGTTTGGTAATCCATCCTTTCTATGAGTACAGTTGGATGGAAAGTCTTAGGATCAGTTTAAGGAGTTATTCCTTCTATGGTGTTCAGGAGCAGCAGAAAGAGCAACTCACTCACAGGAGCCATGTTTTTAACAGCAGGTGAGAGGACTTTAAATCATCATGAACAGGAACAAGGAACTTCTCAATATGGTTGAATGGCAGTTTCTATTATCCCTGCCCAAGATGGCAGAGGCTGCTGAAAACTCCCTTCCACTCTGTCTATCCTAGGCTTTCGTATGCTTTTCCTTTTCTTCAAAAGTAACTTCTTTTTGCAAAAGTTGGTATTTCCAGCAATGTAATATGATGATGCCCTTATGCAAAGAAACGTGCCAGGTCATTTTCACAGCAATCCTATCCTAGTTCATAGTCCCATATAGCTGACATTTTATCCCCCACTAGAAAACTGAAAACATATACGTTTAAATTTAGACTCAGCATCCCGATAGAGAGGCTCCCTGCTGGCACAGCGGATTAAACAGCTGAGCTGCTGAACTTGCTGACCAAAAGGTTGCCAGTTCAAACCCGGGGAGCAGGGTGAGCTCCTGCTGTTAGCCCCAGCTTCTGCCAACCTAGCAGTTCGAAAACATGTAAATGTGAATAGATCAATAAGCACTGCTTCTGCGGGAAGGTAACGGTGCGCCATGCAGTCATGCTGGCCACATGACCTTGGAGGTGTCTATGGACAACGCTGTCTCTTCGGCTTAGAAATGGAGATGAGCACCACCCCCCAGAGTCAGACACGACTAGACTTAATGTCAAGGGAAACCTTTCCTATCCCAACAGAAACATTTAATGTTGTATTAAACAACTTATACATGTTCCTCATATTACCTTGCGGTTTATTCATTTTCAACCTGGAGAGTAATCATGGCATTTATTTGCACAAGGTGAGGCAATGTTTGCCCTCTGGCAAGTAACGGAAGGCAGCTCTTGCTCAGTCTTCAAAATTGGCATCACAATTGCTATACATCCATCATCTGCTGGTTGTTTCCTTTGGCTTCTGGGCTTCCACAACTTCTTAATGTTGGGGTTGTTTCTTGTTCTCGTCATGAAAGTCTAAAGAAAATGTTTTTAAACCTTTGTGTGTTGGGTTCAGTGTGGAGTTTTCTAGCGGAGAAGTCTAAATACTCTTCCCTAAATGGCAAATCCCAGGATTTCATGAGGTGTTGCCGTAGCAGTCAAAATCCAAACCATACAGCACTATGGTTGAATGATGTAGAAGAGCTTATACATCATTCAGGTGTATAAGACATGGTTTTTCTTGCCCCAACCCATGTAATGTGGAACCTTTTCCAACCATATTTATACAGATTTTTGTCAGAAGATATAGTCTGTCAGTGTGATTGTGGCACAGCAGACATCTCACAAACAGTCAAATAAATAATTTGGAGCCCCCGGTGGCGAAATTAGTTAAACCCTTGTGCCGGCAGGACTGCTGATTGACAGGTCACCATTTTGAATCTGGGAGAGCCGGTTGAGCTCCCTCTGTCAGCTCTAGCTCCCCATGTGGGGACATGAGAGAAGCCTCCCACAAAGATGGTAAAACATCAAACATCCAGGCATCCCCTGGGCAGTGTCTTTGCAGATGGCCAATTCTCTCACACCAGAAGCGACTTGCGGTTTCTCAAGTCACTCCTGACATGAAAATAAATAAATAAATATTCAACTAAAATGCAAATACTGAAGAATGTTTTATTCCATTCTAATCCAACAATACACTGTATTGCGACGTCCTGTCTTTAGTTTGTCTTTTTGTTATTAACTTAACTTCCTAATGTAATGAATTCACTTTATCTAGACCTTGTACCCATGTACAAGATTGCAACTCTTTGGAATGATTTAAAATCACTGCCCCATCTCAGTTTTTGCATTTTGCTCGAAGCTACAGTCATGGACCAGCTGCCGCCTTCTGCCTCAACTCAACCAACATTTTCACTCCTACTTCAATAGTCTTCTCATCAGGGGGTGGTTTTCTTGGACTACCAGGCTGGAGAAATTTCTTAATGGTAGGGATGTTGCTTATTCTTGCTTTAAAAGCCTTAAAAAGAGAAGAGGGAAAACATTAAGGAATACTGCAACTTGATGTAAATAAAAGACAAAGGTAAAGGTAAAGGTTTTCCCCTGGCATTGTCCAGTTGTGTCCGACTCTGGGGGGTTGGTGCTCATCTCCATTTCTAAGCCAAGGTCATGTGGCCAGCATGACTGCATGGAGTGCCCTTACCTTCCCGCTGGAACAGTACCTATTAATCTACTCACATTTGCATGTTTTCGAACTGCTAAGTTGGTAGAAGCTGAGGCTGACAGAGGACGCTCACGCCGCTCCCTGGATTTGAACCTGCGACCTTTTGGTCAACAAGCTCAGCAGCTCAGCGGTTTAATCCACTGCACCACCGGGTGCTTCATAGTAGGGGAGCCACACTGCAGGTCTCTGAGGAAGAGCCTTGTTTTTATTCTTCTGGAATGTTTTATTCTTATGGAATGTTGGATAAGCAAAGGTTGGATAAGCGAGACTACTGTATTTATATTCTGAACCAGGCCACAATCCCATTGGCATAATCAAGATGTATGCATTGCATATGTGACTTCTTAGTATTCACATTTCCTACATATCTCCTTGTTTAGGAGATATGTAAGGACCATGAAAGTCTCCCAGCCCCTACATAGTATTCAGTAGCCACTGTGATGAATGGACATAGGTATGTTCCCTGTTGATCAGGAAGCAACTTGCAAATGGGGCCACCCCTCTTTATGCAAGTGATCTCCACTGTGAGGGGGGATTGTGACAGGGACCATTTCTACCTGTCAAAACAGAGAGAAGGGGTATGGCACTCTAACAGAACCTCACTGATCACTGTTAACCGGTAATGTGAGGAGTCAAGCCAAATTCACTATATTGTTATTTAAGTTACATAGTTACATAACAACATAGTGCATTACAGATTCTGGTAGCTTCTGCTATGTTCTATTTTATTGTTTATCTCTTTTTATTTCTTCACTTTTAGTATTGCTTTGGATGTCAGGCCTTATAAGCCCTGTTCAACACATCAAAAGGATCATGGGAACTGAAGTCTACAGTGGTGGTTTTCTACCTGTGGGTCCCCAGGTGTTTTGGCCCACAACTCCCAGGAATCCCAGCCAGTTTACCTACTGTTAGGATTTCTGGGAGTTGAAAACCAAAACATCTGGGGACCCACAGGTTGAGAACCACTGGTCTAGAGTGGTAGTTCTAAACTTGTGGGGTCCCTGGATGTTTTGGCCTAAAGTAAAGGTAAAGGTTTCCCCTTGACATTAAGTCTACTTGTGTCCGTGTCCAACTCTGGGGTGGTGGTGCTAATCTCCATTTCTAAGCCAAAGAGCCGGTGTTGTCCGTAGACGCCTCCAAGGTCATGTGACCAGCATGACTGCATGGAGCGCTGTTACTTTCCTGCAGAAGCAGTGCCTATTGATTTACTCACATTTGCATGTTTTTGAACTGCTAGGTTGACAGAAGCTGGGGCTAACAGCGAAGTCACCCCGCTCCCTGGATTCGAACCACTGACCTTTTGGTCAGCAAGTTCAGCAGCTCAGCAGTTTAGCCTGCTGCACCACTGGGGTCTCCTACAACTTGTTTTGGCCTACAACTCCCCAAAATTCCAGTCAGTTTACCAGCTGTTAGGATTTCTGGGAGTTGAAGGCCAAAACATCTGGGGACTCACAGGTTGAGAAGCACTGGTTTGGCCTGCAACTCCCCAAAACCCCAGCCAGTTCACCAGCTGTTAGGATTTCTGGGAGTTAGGACATCTGGGGACCCACAGGTTGAGAGTCACTAGTCTAGAGGGTCAGAGTTTCCCTTCCCCTCCTCTAGTGCATTCTAACTCTTTCAACTGTTTTGTGAATCCTTCCCTACAGGATCTGTAGAACATGATCCAGCATCTCAGAATGTGTTGGATCTACTACCCTTCATGGCTCTGCTGTCCTTCCATATTTTGCCAAAACTTTCTTACCTTTAGAAGAGGAAATTCGGAGAGAACATCAGCCTTCAGCTCTTCTGTTGCTAAAATGACTTCCAGCAAATGGACATCTGCTCTACAGAGTTGATTTCCCTCCAGAAAATCTTCTCCATGCTCTTTGAGAATCTAGAGAAGGAAACATTTTAAAAGACTTCCAGTGCTCCAGGCCAATGCTTCTTAAACCTTTACTTCTCCAAGTGTTTGGGGCTTTAGATGCCAGAATCTCTGACTACTGACCATGTCAAAGGAACCTTCTGGGAATTGAATCTGAAGTTTGGAAAATCAAACATTGACAGCCACTGTTTTAAGGAAGTATACTAAATTAAGAAGATGCAGCTGGACTACTTTGATAATCACTCGATGGAGAACGCTGCACCATTACAGTAGAGGGTTCCTATTAGATTTGGCTCATGTTTTTGAAGAGCCCCAGCCATGTTTTGGGTGACATTGTGCTTTAATGGGGATGTCAGCTCCCATTTATTCCGCTCCATTGTTACTGATTTCAAAATATACCAAATAGTTGCACCAATGACTAACAATTCCTGAGCTTTTCTCATAATACCTTTTCAAAGACTGGGAAATATCTGCCAGTGGCTTTCGTAAGGATCACTTTTATTTCCTTTTCCTTCTCCTCCGCTTCGGGATATTTAAAGGGCATGTCCGCGATCATTTCACCTATGTCCAAAATGCCTTCACTATACATATTGATTCTGTATAAAAGAGAAAAGGAGAGAATGCTCCTAATATGTTGATTAAGCCGATAGACCACACAGTCTGCTCTGTAAAACTGAAATTCTTAACATTCAACTGATGAAAAAGGTCCTTCTTGTTAGAAATATTAAAAATTGACAAGGTATTTTTAATTTAAAAAATGGGAGCCAAGCACTGAAAGGGTTAAATGGATGCAATGACTCGGGAAAAGCTGCATTTCTAAATAAGTCAGTGTGTCTATAGCTTAGTAGCCATCAGTCTGAGGTAAACCTCAATGGGAGAAAGGTCTCAGTCTGTGAGAAGGTCTCACAGTTTGAGATAGGCCTTAATCTGTGAGAGAAGGCCTCACAGTCTGAGGTAGACCTTAGTCTGTGAGAGAAACTTCAGTGTGAGGTAAGCCTCGGTATGAGAAAGCTCCAGTGTGGAGGTTGAACTTTATTTGTGTCATATAAATAGTGCAACTATATTATTGTAAAAAGTGCAACCATATTATTTTGCTATAAAGAAAAGCCTCCTATGGAAGAGATAACATTGGTCTTTGTGTTTTTGTTCTTTTTATCATTTTGGGCTAGTGGTGGTCACACTGCTGATGATAAGTAACTTTGCTTCACATTTATGGAGAAGGTCTTTTGTTAATAAGCCCACTCGCCCAACACTTTTTCCAGTTATTTTGATCTGGAGTGTATCCACACAGTAGAATTAAAGCAGCTTGATATAACTTTAACAGCCACGGCTCCATCCTATAGAATCCTGGGATTGTAGTTTGGTGAGGTACCAGCATTCCTTGGCAGTGAATGCCAAATACTTTGCAAAACTACACATCCCTGGATGTCATAGGGAGGAGCTCTGGCAATTAAAATGGTGTCAAACTACTATATATTTGTAGAATGGATGAAGTGCAGCTTACTCCATGTATATTTGTATAGGACTACAGTTTTATAGTGACCACATTACATTCCTCTAAATTATAAGAAGATTTTAAAAAAGAATGCTTTCATGTCATTTAGGCCCCATCTACACTGCCATGTAATTCAGTTTCTGAATGCAGATTAACTGCAACGAACTGGATTATATGGCAGTGTATTCTCATATAATCCCGTTCAAAGCAGTTACGTCTGAATTCCGAAACTGGATTATATGGCAGTGTAGATCCAGCCTTAGTTTCATATAATTTATACAAAAATTTGGGGAAGGTCATTAAATTTTAGTTGATGAGGATTAAATTAATGGCTGGAGCAAGCGTGAGTAATATGCGGCCATCCAGGTATCGTTGGAGTACAGATTCCTTCATCCCTTATCATTCATCACAATGGATAAAACCAATGAAAACGCCAATTTGATAACAACTAGAAGGGCATAAGCTGCCCATCCCAGACTGGAGAATGAACTCTAGAGAAACAACGCTTGACTTCTAATGAACCCACTCTATGTGAACTCGAGGGTGAG